TGCTTTTCGATGTAATTCATGGGCATATTCCTACACTTTAATACTCTCCCCAATTACAATACAACAAATACTAACTTTACGTAAGAAAAAGTGCACCTGGAATGGACAAGTCGCGCGCCAACGTGCGTGCAAACTTTTCCTCATTAGACATACAAGTATATCTAATCAATTTTCACTGTCTATTAGATCATGCACATCTCCTCACATGTTCCGTGTACTGATGGATAAATTTCTCCCAGTCCCAGAGGTTATGCAAGTTTGAAACTGAATACCGTGGAGACAAAGATTTATCCGAAGGGACCAAACGGAATATACTACATGTCCGTAGAATCACCTGGTAACATAATAAAAAAGCTTCATTGCTATTACAGTGACCAAAAAGGAAGGATAACAGACCTAATTTACATGCCCACTCTACCAAAATATATCACATTTTCTCCTTACCCGCCCGTGCCAACCTCAAGTCCTACATATCAATATGGAGGCTAAAGAGCAGCCTTTAAACTGAGCCCTTCCTTCTTTCATCCGACCAATGTTCTATTAGTTCTTCATTCGGTGACGCCGACCTCGAGACTTCTATGCCTACATGGAAGTCAGGGATGGAAGATAAACCGAGTCCTCGTTTTCACTTCTTGGTATCCTGTTATATCCCCTCGTCAACAGGTCGTACCTATCCGAAGGCCTCCAAGACTACATAGAAGCCTATGAATAAGCCTGATCGAGTACTCCTTCTCCTCTACCTGACGACTGTTACGCTATTCTTTTTCAATTATCTCGCAACGAGCAATAAGTTCTATTGCTAACTCTGTCAGCGATACCCATGTGAGCGTACCAAGTTACCTTTAACGATAGATGTACTATGTAATTAGTCTTGCGTCTCCTTAAACCATTGTTTGAGTACCTCCTCCACTACAGATCCTGTAGTGCTAGCAGGCCTATTGGCGATATATAGGAATACAAGCCTGACACCTTCTAATGAATCACCATCTCGAACATTACCTAATAAGCTAACATGCTTGCCTCTCTTACCTATGTTTACTCACAGTACGCTGCTGAATACATTATTATTAACCTGTATGATATTTTCCTCGCAATATTTTAGATTTGTTATACTAACAGAACCACGACGGTCTTTTCCGCTTGCAATTCCTTTAACCTGTTCATCGTTCTATTTGTTCAACGTGTTCTTTACGTTACCCTGAGACTCGTCCAAATAATGCGAAGAAATATTCCAATACCGCTGGTTGCTTGGCGTTTTGATTGCTACTTCTACGTAACGAAACAGTCAAGTGCAAGCCGCTCCTGAATACTGTGCTTTGACAGTCTACACCGCGTGCCGAGTATAATCAAGCATATGACTGACAAGTAATGTCACATTGCAATATCTTCGCGAACTACAAATCAACAGGTGACTGACACTGTACTTCTTAAGGACCTGACTGACCATGTTAAATGACACATTCATTTTTCCATTTATAGGAATCATCAACCGATTTGCGAAACCCTTGTACAATTTGATCGGGCCAATATACTAGGCTGTGTCTCGCACAGTCGGGAAATAAACTAATTTATTTAAAATGTATGTGATCGTGAAGAAGCCAAAGTGAAAAAATGTAGACTAAATTATTAGCGACAGCTTGGCGCCATGTGCGACGCTAGTCTTGATTGGAACTGTCCTTGATGCTCTACATTTACGGGTTTTACATATCGGCACTGATACGATGACGCAGGCATTAGCCAAAATTCGTATTCTCATTCGGATTTTCAAATGCTCAGAGTGGCGAATCACGTACCCATTCTTAAATCATGAGTAGGTGCGATTTCGCCTCCTTTACTTGGCCATTATTACAGTGCTAAACGAGTCCACCATTGCATTTTCCCCTTTGCATTGGTTTACCCTCCATTTCAATAGGGCCTTATTTCCTACCAATAGCTTTTGGAGAGCTAGGTATACACGCAGAGGACAGTAAACTGATCTTGATAAGCCTGATAGACTTTAACAAATCCGTCTACTCATAAGTAATCCAAAAGTTAGGCTATAACAGGTTTCAAAAATGTATGAATTCACGGCTACCACCTGACGGCCAACAAATGTTCTGTGCATGGGCAATAACCTGCATGGCAGTGGAGGATGGGTCAGGCCATATCACAGATAGATCTCAATCCATTAAGGTCGGCTATCGTCCATTATGGGTCAACGGCATAAGCTGCTGGCTAACGGCGCAAGTCCCTAACAGTCATGGGTTCGGTTTCCTATAGAATATTGAGTAAATGCCCACCACTGACGTGCTCCGTAGGGCGAAATGATCATCTGGTGCTTTTCCAGATTAATAGTTTAGCTCGGTAGCTTTTACTCCAGTTGAAACACACTGAATAAATGTGATTTAGCTTTGTCCCGTCCATTCTGTAATACTACTTTCTTCGCTCTTACGTACATTGGAGCCTCATGGATCGGGATGCGTAACATGAGCACAGCGGTGAGTTGTATGACTGAGCCATAGAATTGGACTTTTCTATTTTTCATCTCCAATAGCAAAGTAGATGAAAGAGTCATTGTATGTCTTTGTCATGTGAACAGTTTGGAGGATTGGACACCTGAAGCCTCATCACTATTCCATCAAGCGGATGAAGCATTCCCATGTTGCCTGCTTTAGTACACTTCGCCACCATGTTCCAATCGCGTCTCTCACGTAGTGTTTTAAGACGAGCATATTGTAAAGGTGTTCAGTCGCACAGTGACCGTCGTACTTAATGTGGACATACTTTCTAAATTAGCTGTCTATTACTTAAATATCTTCCTCTGCATGAGTTCCAGTGACTGCCATGGTGTTATATCGCAATTTTTCGTCCATAGTTTTCAATACGCTGCTTGCTCTTTATTTGAAAATTCTCTGTCCCTTTGTTGGACATCCCTGTTCTGTGGTGTCATCTGACCCGAAGTCATGTTAGAGTGATCAACGTTAATTTCCCCTACGAAGTGTTATAGAATTGCCCGTGAAGGCATCATGGAATAGGAACGACCTATGGGCTTGCATAACCAAAGATTTATCACCAGTTTGAGTTTGATTGGTACGATGTGTTTGAGTCACTTTTAGTGGGCCGTGATTGTCATTTCCTGTTGGTTTTGTCATGGTTAATTAACACTTGACGCGATGCTGTTACCTTCTCAAGTGACCTACAGGGGTCGAATGGATTGATAGAACTGGCAGGTGACTGCTTACGATACCCGCCATGCTGCAGTCTCATCGTGACGGACCTGGCGATAAGTTATGATCAAGTTTTCACTCCCCATCGCCCAGCATCTGTTCTACACGGACGTGCATCACCGTCAAACGACACACAGCGTTGTATTACCCACTACTCTAACCTATGGGAATGCCGCATGTGATCAAGTGTAGCAAGGATAACTCCCGATGAGTGGAATATCCGTCTTATTGGTTTTGCAGTGCCAATCTCAAGGTTGCTGGGACCCCTGAAACCTGTAAGGTTTGACGATATTGCAGTGAGAGCATTCGTGTTTTGCTAAAATGGCATAATGTGCAGCATGAAGCATTGCTACCCTTCGCTTGTTACTGCTGTTTCAAGTATTGAATAGTCAAAAGCAGACGTCCTCATGAGGGTTGTGTTGCATGCCACTGTCTGCAGTAGCCAGCCAGATTGGTGACATTGCAGCTACGCTAAGGCCCCCCTTTCTACCTCAACCGAAACAACTTATTTGAATTATCAACTATTCTAAAATTCAAGAGTGGAAGCGTTTGCGTTCCAGCATAAACTGCGTTCTACCACTTATTTACTACAATGATATTATAGCTCTTGAAAATCGTGTTTCTGATAAGATAAACCCCACAATTAACTGCCGATAGCATAGAGCAGCTTTTGTAAGACTAAGTAAACTATAGAAGGTAACCTTTGAAATCAGCATAGTTAACTTCACGTAACATACTCAATAGCTCACCCTGAAAACCGATTTGTTCACAGCTTGCTTTCGAAGGTGAGGAAGGAAAAACTGCTAGTGGTTTCCTCACCCGTGTACTGCCTGTTAATGGCGAAGGGTAAATTTGTTAACCTCAACTCTCATCCGATCCACAGTTCCCGAAGTTCAATTCAGCTTCATTGAATATTCATGATGGGGCAGTCGACTGCGCTACTCGATCACAGCTCCGGCCGGACCACTGTATTCAGGTTCCACTTTGTTGGATTCCGTTGACCGCTCTAATGTGCTGCTATCGGAAAACCGTTTACATATTATAACAGGCAAGACGGATTGCCCCACATGGTTGCATACACCCTGAATGAGGACGCAGCACACCAGTCTAGTTTATCTTACCGAGCGATGTCACAAAACCACTTGTCAAACTTGGGCGCTTCATTAGGAATGCGAATGGATGGACTTGCGCTTGGCATGCACAAATCGGTATCTAATGGAAACCGTGCCCAACTGCGATGCGGGGTGAATCTCATTTACCCGCTTCGCACATAACACAGTTGACCCACCATCCCACTAGCAGGGAGTAAATGCGGAGGGGCGTTAGTTGGTAGTCCAGTGTCTTCCTGCGACATGCGCACACGCAGTTCTTCATGGTGCTTTCTGCGAAGGCGCCACCAGTGAGCCAATCCAGTTGAGTGAGTTGAAGCGAAACTAAGCTGGTTTGCGTGAGATAGGCCAAACTGTGCAGCTTGCTACGAGTGTCAAGGATTCGAAGGGGGCGATGGCTTGTCACCTTGTTGTGCAGTAAATCGGAAAGGGAAGGGGGAGATCGAAAAGAAAGTGGACCCCGCAGCAGGTTGAGACCCCAAGACGAATCAGCGGCATGCATGTGGCGTAGCCATGACCACATCAGCCGTAGCTAAGATGCCGCCCACATCACAAACATTTCGTTGTTCCAATAGTCTGCTTTGGCTTCTCAAGTGTACTTTCAGCTGATACAAGTGCATCAGTTACTTCCGATTTGACGAATGAGAGCATCTTGGCTGATCAAGTTAACGGATCAAGGGACAGAATGCTGAACCTAAAGAGGTAAGATAGTTTTCGTTCGTACTGATCACTTCATATACGTATCTGTAAATGAAGGAAAACTAGTTGGTACTTTACTTTTTGTTTCTTTGTTTATCGAATACTAAAAATGTCTTTTATTGCCGGGTTTGTAAAAAACTTTAAAGGCCCACCGTTTTGAACATCTATGAATATTTAAAGCAGTTAGTTCCCTTCAACAATTTGAAAAGCACGGAAAGAAGACGAAGGCTGGTAGATGCATGCACTGTTAGCTATATCTATGCTTACCGGTTATTGTTAATGGTACTGAGGAGACAATACGAAATGCATGCATCTACCAGCCTTCGTCTTCTTTCCGTGCTTTTCAAATTGTTGAAGGGAACTAACTGCTTTAAATTTCTGAAACGACGAATTCCCTCCGAAACAGTCAGGTTGCTGCACCGCATAGTCAGCCTGAGGTGCAAGATGGTGTGCTTACGTGTGGAAATATCGTTTCTATCGAAATGCATTTTCGTACGTCGCTATCCTCGTCCAGTGCTTTTACTTTGCGTAGAAACAAACTCAAGCCCTCTGCGGCTAACCTTAAACGTGTGGCGTCCGCTCACCTAGAGACGGCTCAAACCAGACTTGCGGAACTACTAGAAACTCATGCACGCTTACTACCCGTGGTCGAGGATCTCTCTTTGTGTTGCCGGATTGTTTTCACTAACTTTTGTAAATCAACTCTTGATCGTACGAGACGAAATCGCTCCGCTCGTTTAGAAAATTCGCTGATGAACAACCAGGAGGAGGAACCAATTGCTCGTGATCCCAGTAAGTACGTGATGAATTTATCGAACGTACAACTTGATGCGTTGCAATTAGAAGCATTATCACTTGGTCTTGATTACAAAGTCCCCCCTAAGACCTTGAACGGCTTGTTTATAGAAGCCCAATTTGAGAACTTTTTTGACCAGTTTAAGGAGCTCCAACCAACCAGCCCTGATAAGCATATTTGGTTCAGAAACAAGTTAACTGATATCGCCCATGAGGTAAAAACCATGCCAATTAATGAAAAGTGTGCCATCACAGCTCGACATTTTCAGGCTTTACGTGAACTACGAGCTAAGGACGTAGTCGTAATGAAACCAGATAAAGGTTCAGGAGTGGTAATCATGAATAAAACCGAATACAATGAGAAGATGTGCGTTATACTCAATGATGCGAGTAAATTCGAACGGCTCACGAAAGTGGGGGACATAACCAATGTCGAAATGCGCATAATTCGTCACCTGGAATTACTTCTCCTCCACCGCGTGATAGACTTGGATACATTTAATAGTTTGAAGCCGAGTGGTAGCACTATTCCACAGTTGTATGGGTCCCCAAAGACACATAAGTGTGAAGTGCCACTCAGGCCAATCCTTTCAATGATGAACGCGCCCCAGGACAAACTCGCTCGTTGGTTAGTGAAGTTGCTAGCTCCGCTGAAACAACAGTTCAATCCGTACAGTCTTAAAGACTCGTTTCAACTCATTGATGATCTGGATGAACTCAACCTGTCAGACAAAGTTATATGTTCCTTGGATGTAGAATCCTTATTTACCAACGTGCCGCTACATCAGACGGTTGATTACGTATGCGAATTAGCTGAAAACGGTGGCTGTTCGCTACCAATTCCGACTGAATTGCTAAGAGAATCTCTACTATTGTGCACGGAGAATGTGGATTTTCACTTCCGGAATACACCATACCGTCAGATTGACGGCGTAGCAATGGGTAGCCCATTAGGTCCTGCGCTCGCTGATTTCTTCATGTTGATGGTAGAAAGAAGCATTTCTACAGAAATAGCCCAGGTGCCATACTACAAAAGATATGTCGATGATATCTTGGCTTTCTGTTCGTCGGAGCAGCAGCTCACACATTTGGTAGAACGACTCAATGGTGCTCATGCTAACTTACGGGTTACATGTGAAATAGAAGAAAACAATTGTCTACCATACCTGGACATACTCATAACTCGCAGGGAGGATGGATTGATTAAGAGGTCAATTTACCGAAAATCGACTTGGTCCGGTCAGTACCTGCACTTCACCAGCTTCACACCAGTGCGGTACAAACGGACACTTGTGAAGACTCTAGTTAGTCGTGCCAGACGAATTTGTTCGGCCGACTGTCTGGACGATGAGCTGGTGTTCATTACAGCAACACTAATGGCGAATGGCTACCCTCGAAGATTTATCGAGAAACACAGCCAACCGCGAGGACCAAAGGACTTGGTGCACACGGCAGCCAAGAAGAAAGTGTATATCGAGTTACCTTTCAAAGGTGACTTAGCCACGCTGAAGACAACCAAGCGTATAATTTCTGCTACACAAGGAAGTTACTATGCTGCACAAGTTGTCGTTATCAACCGAACCCGAAATTTGCCCATACCTCCAACGAAAGAAGCTCAGCCTATTGGGGCCAACTCACACTGTGTATACCAATTTGTATGTGACTGCGGAAAAAGTTACATAGGCAGAATCAATAGAACGCTGACTTCCCGAATAAAGGAACATGTGCCAAGATGGGTTCAACGTGAAGTTGCTCAGATTGCCTACCCTCGTCAGATTCCATGTTCGCGCAGACCGCCGGCTTCCTCGATAGGCAAACACCTATTAGACTCGGGTCACCAATTAGCGCTGGGCTCAGCGTTTAAAGTTGTGTTACGTCACACTAATCCCCGTTTCCTTCGGTTTGCCGAGGCTGTCGCAATTAGCCGGATTAAGCCCGCCTTGTGTGTTCAGAAACAATTATTTGTTAGCCTAAAGCTGCCTTGGACGTAGGTGTGAACTTCCGTCATTCACTTTGCACCTTAAGCTTGTCTGGTTGCACCCACTGTTAGCTATATCTATGCTTACCGGTTATTGTTAATGGTACTGAGGAGACAATACGAAACGCATGCATCTACCAGCCTTCGTCTTCTTTCCGTGCTTTTCAATCTATGAATATTCCGTCCCCGACATTGACCTTACAAACCGAGTTTATATCTTTTCATTGCGCTTGGCACATGTAGACAGACTGGAAAAGAGACGTGAAACTTCTCGAAAACCATTCAAAAAATTGTGATCACTAGTTTGACCTATTTTATGATCATCTGTTGTGCCAGCCATGCAAAAATCGTGACTGGCTTGTATACAACGTGCAAGCTTTAAAAGAACAGGGCTATGCTGTGAATTAATCCGCGGTCTCCGTGCTTACAAGGATTCTGCCAGCAACAGAGTCCCAGTTGAAAGCAACCATTCAGGGCCGTCGAAACTAAATAATTCAGTATTCTCTTCCACCATATACTGCAATATGTGGGTTTGAAACTGAGCAGCAAAATTTGAAATAGAAATGTCCGGTAAAAATAAGCGATTTTCGCGTGCAGTTCTATGCCTCTGAAAAGTAAAGGTTAGGGCCTAAATGAGGGAGGACAGCGACGCTAACGGTTCAACCCGTTTAATACGCAATACTAAGTCGGGGCTAATGTCGCTTACAAATTAAGTAGTACATTTCGTATGGGCGGTTGAAAACAGTTTAGTTTCGCTGTTCTAAGTATAAAAGCTAGGCCATATGTGCAATCTGAGCGGTAACAAGTTGTTTTTAGCTTATATTATAGAACAGCTATTCGAAAGCCTTCTGAACGTTCTTTCCCTGAGAGATGGAAAATTTCGTCCCCCTTGAAAAGCGAAGATACGAAGATTTTAAGTAGGGAAGTCGTAGCAAGAAAAATCATCAGTCGCAATTTCGCTGTTACTGTTTCTAACGCCATGTAGGAGTATAATGAAGTAGCCTTCTATCGATATTCAGCTGGCTTGCACGACAGGTACAAACGCTGTGCAAAGCTTGTAAATTATGCACAATTAAAGTTCGAACTATTGACATGACGTACCATTGAAAGTCAAAATTTGGATAAGCATTTTTGTGTGGTGCTGCTGCTACGTTGAACTTTGCGTAGATAGTGTAAAAAATCGGTTCGACACCAGTAAGAACGAAGTGGATGGGGTGGAACATATCAGAAAGCACGGAACAAAGTGAATCGCAACAGATTACAAAGCTGACCTTCGGAAAGCAGTTAGCCTTTAACAGAGAAAATCTCGTAAGAAACCAGCAGTCTATGTTTCCTCTGATGGCCCAAAAAGGTGTTGTAGACATACTATGTACAGAAATATATGTAGCTAAGCGTATTTGCTGCAGTTCTCAGATTTAAAAGAATACCAGCCTTAAACAGTTGCCGCTGCATAACGCCGTGTATAACTTAGACCTTATCAACTTACATTTTTGTGTGGCACAGTGTTTTAAGTGGACAGACGGCGCAAAGCATGTATATTATGCTTGCACATCCCCAGATGGTGATAGATGTACCAGGCAGCCACCGCGCACCCCACATTTCTGAGCCCAAGCCCATCTCGTTCAGGGCTAGCGATAGTGGACGTTTCAAGACACTCAATCTGAGAAGTATGGTGATAGAACTTGATGAGTTCGTGTATCGTGCGTGATGAGGAAATGAGCATACTTTAGCATTAGAGTATATGGAGGTGCCTTCACTGTTACAGTTACTGCGTGAAGCATTGACAAACAACGCCACGATGCACTCTCGGGAGCAATCAGTATGCGTGCCATTCAAAAGCTACCAATGTGTAACGGCCAGCAGTAACTCAAACTTAGGTGCTTCAGCTGGCATCCTAACCTCCTGACTTCAAAATGCAGGGTTACTATTTCTAGCTGATGGCAGCGAATGCATGGTGTGCGGCGTTTTGATTGTTTCGCATCTAAAAATGAGTCAGCCTCAAGAGAAACGATTACACTGACTGACTTGATTGGCTGGATATCACAGAAAGATAGAATATCCCATAATTTACTCTGAACTTTACACGTTGGTTGCGTGTATGTCTACTGAAGATGCAATACGCTCTAATTACCAGCTGCACTCTCCTTGATGCTGTAGTCAGAAAAAATCCGCACTGCTGTGAATATGCGATAAGGCCAACTAGTCAAAACGCGCACCACTTTGGATTCGA